TTGTAGAAAGACCCTCTGCAAAGCACTGGGTGTGTGTGGTGCCTATTCTCTCTTCCACTATTTCTGAAGCTGGCAGGTCTCCCAGTTTATGTAAGAGGTAAATACTGTATGTGACTTTTTATTCAGCTACCAAACTCAATAGAAAGTATTTCATATCAGTTCTTCACATGTAGGATTACTTTGTTACAAGTTAAAGTCATTCATTCAAAGCTTTACATAAGGAAAAGTACAAAAGAATTAGCATCAATATAAGGTTAAAACAATTCTTACTTGTGCAGATACTATCTTAATTGATTCTAATCATTGATACACAGGTGTGTAGGATTGATTTAATGTTACTCATGGTTAAAGTGGGGCTAATTGCTTTATATACTGCTGTGCAGTTTTGTCTACTCTATTATAAGGTGTTATAATTTATCTGTTGGTTATATTTAGTTTAAATAATGAATCTGCAAAGTAACAGGTAACTATAGCTGTCAAATAAATATAGTGGAATTTAAGTAGAAGGTAGTATAACATTAATATTTAAGTAAAGTACATTAAGTACAGTAATTGAGTAAATAATAATAGACGTATTAAAATAAGCAATTAAATAATATACTCAAACTAAAACCAATTAATCAATAGCAATGATTTTTTTTCAGTGATGTAGCCAAAATGGCACAGCATAATAGTGTATAATCAAACAGTATAAGTTTATTCTCACTATCGCCTGGAGTCACGTGAGGTTCGATCAGTGATGAATGCTGACGCGCAGTTCGGGCTGTGGAGCGGAGCTGGGATGAGAGTGGCACCACTGTCAAGTCTCACAAAGATATAACAAGGCCTTCCTGTTGTGGATTCCAAAATAAATGAAACTCACTGACTAACCTCGTGTGTACGCACTACTCTTTTACTTTGAAGACCGATTATCTTACATCTGGACTTGTTCTTTTTGTGTGTAGACCAACTTGACGCAGCCGCGTCAACAACTCTCCAGACACTAGTGGAGTGGAGGCGTATTTGGAGCGGTAACGGTGACACGCTCGGCCGCTGTGGGCATAAATATACCACCGCTGCTGCTGCTGCTGAAGCACACTGTGCACTTACGGTAACCGGGGGGACTGCCAGGCGACTGGGGGGCATAAATGGCCACAGCATTTGCAAAGAGAAGACGCTGCCCGTGAGACAACCTGTGAACCAAATGCGCCCTGGAAATTAGGACGCGCATTTGCCGTCTGCTACGTTTTTCGTATAACGGAAGTTTCCGTGACCGATTTTGGGGCATCTCGATTAATAGGCTGCAATCATGGACGAGGACAATCAAGGTATGATTCAGTATATGCGATATATACCGCTGATTTGGTTTAGGGGGTATGTGCCTCTCTAGCCTGCTGGAGTTTTCAGTGTAATAACAGACTAATGTTATGGACAGTGACTATTATTTCAGGGATTTTAGACTTGACATTAGTTTTTGCAACGTTGAGCCCATCTCACCACATTCATTTTCTCTCATCAGCTTTTTTCTGACAAGAACTTCCCTCCTAAATAGGAAGAGACGCCCTCACTCATGTTGTGTTATTATGGTTTCAAAAGCAGTTACGTGTAAAAGTAGAAAGTCTGACCTACACAGAGGGCGATGATTAACACTCAACAAGGTTATCAGGCTTGAACAGATAAGCATGCATGACTGACATCAGTGTCATATCAGTGCTGTAGTCAGGAGACCTGAGTTTATCTAAGCCTTTGTCAGCTGTGGGCTGGTGTCACTCAGGCCCAACAGGTCCTCTCACAGTCAGCAAAGAGTACTCATGACACACGGATTCACTGGTTCAAAACAAAAGCCAAGCTTGTTTTAACAGTGTGTTACGGATGCTTCACTGCAGCAGGAGCCTGGGGACTGCATCCACCTACAGATCAGCACAGGGATGGGTTGGCAAACTTTTGAACGGGGAAGCCAGACTTAAGTAGTTTTCAGAAGTGGGGCACATAAGTAAAATGAGTGACAAGTGTTAAGATTCACATTTAAACCCATGGTTCTCTGCAATAATAAACTGTTCATTATTAACAGTTACATATTTTATTCAGGGTAATAAAAGAATGCTGAGAAATATTCTAATATGTAATTATATCAATAAATACTTGCTCTTTATAACGTCAGATAGCCTACAGCCATGAACATGTGAAAAACGGGATCCATCCACTGCTACATGGGAGCAAGACACCCACGCTGAAAGAGATCAAATTTGTGTGTGCCGCTTTGTGGTCATTTTGCATCTTTTGTTTGTTGTTTTGTGTCTCTTTGTGGTTGTTTGACTCACAACTCTATGTAAGAAATGGTCACGTCAAACAGTAACTTTAAATACTACATGGGTTCCGGTTCACTCTTATTGTGTCACCTCTGTAAGTGGTATTCAATCGCACATGTTCACTGCTCATAGAGCTGCAGGATGTGACTATTTGCCAGAGAGCTGCATGCATGGCGTGCAGGCATAAAGCTGTCATTGTGCCGTGTGCGGCCAGCATGGCCTCCGGCGGCGGCACACGTCAGCATAGCCCCACAGACAGACATATGGCGCTGCCAACCCGGGATAACTGACAACAACCAGGAGCTGAGGCACATATAAACACTTGCATACATCATGGCTGCACAATGACATACTAACACTCACACAAATTACATTTCTCCTTTTTCCCTTATTGTACTGTTTGCACTGAAGATAGATGGATTGATCATGACCCAGAATAATAAGTGTGTGTGCACATGAGCTGGTGTGTGTGAAATTTATGACACAGTTTGCCTTCTCATCTAGAATAAATAGTGTCCTGGATGATGCATGAAATAGGCTACAGCACTCTTTGAGTTTTTTTTTTTTTTTTGGTTTGATAATGAAAACATTACCTTAATTGCTGCTTTTAGTAGAAAGTGTTTGCACCCACACAAACACACACACACATATATGAGCCCATAGCAGAGCTGGGCACGTGGCGGTCAGGTGGTAGATTGGCTGACATGGTTCAATATCTGACAGTCATTCCCCACAAAGGTACACACACACTTGGCCAGGCCACAAGTGGAGTGAGCGAGAGGATGAAAAGTGACGGACAGAATGAAGTGCCGAGGTGTCGGAGAAAGCACAGACGGTGAGAAAAGCGTAAGGATGGAAAGAACGTGTGACCATAAAGAGTGAGAGTGTGACAGTCGTAGTATCAGCTATGGTGAGATGTCTGAGAGGGAATAAGAGAGCGAGATGTGTGTGAAAGAGAGAATGGGGGCCGGAATGAAGTGCCAGGGCAAAGCTGGAAAATAGCCATAGAGCTATGGAGCGTCGCAAGTGAAAGGCACAGGGAGAGTGGTTGCGGACTAGATATTCTTACCGAATCATTTCCCCTGTGTATTACAGGAGTTTCTATCAGTAAAACCCCTACTCACTGAACAGTGAGCAAGCTCTGGCCATAACCATCCTTTTTTTTTTCATTTACACCTATGAGAAATATTTTCTGTGTTAGCAAAAGAAACCTAATACCAATAGCTCACACGTGCCATGGCACAGTAAGTCACAACACTGTGGATGGCAGCATTTGTTGGTTGGTTCTTCACTCTGACTAAAATATGGGAACAAATATTTAATAGTTTGCCATTAAATTTTGTGCAAACATTCATGGTCCCCAGAAGAAGAAGCCTAATGACTTTGGTGACTGGTTACCTGTCTTTTCCTCTAGTGCCACCGTGGGGCTGACGTTTGTGGCTATGAGTGAAATGTCACAAAAACAAATGGATGGATTTTCCTTGTGATTGATTATAACTTTGGTAATACTAAGAATTGTCTTTTTTGGGTTACCACCAAGTCAAAAGCCATGTTTTTTTTGGTCTTTACTTTTGTGAAAATTGGTGAATGCCATCACACTAACATAACTAAGATGGTGTACATGGTATTTTACATGCTAAACAAAAGCGTTTAGTCCAAAGCACTGCACAAAGCCTGATAGAAATGTAGTAGCATCTTTATCTTATTTCCTTTTCACCTGCATGAAATCTTCTCTATGTCGTCAAACAGTGTCGGTTTAGAGCAATCCATCTGACACATGGCAGTCAACGGTACAATGCCTTCTGCTACAGTACTCAGTCAGTGGACAATGGGCCAACAAGAGCACACAAAGCTTTTCTGCAGTGAAACCTGTCTGCTGGAGCAGCCTGAGTGTATCTTACTATAGTGCATTCTCATTTTCTACGACTGACTCTTCATTGAATGTATGCCTATAGTATCTCTGATTCCTCTACTTCAGAGTAGAGTGTAACTTTGTACACTGTGTTCAATGAGGACTACATGAATGCCCATATGGTATGTATCAGAGCATTTATGCTAGACACTGGCTTCACAGCATGCCTAGTGATGGCTCATGGGTTTAGCTACATACTGCTCTATTTACACACTGTTAAAACCAGCTATTTAAACTTGGTTGTTTAGTGTGTATGCATCAGTGTGTGTGGTCTGTGCAGTTATGGCACACTGCAGCCCATCTCAGGCGAGGAGAGATGCGTACGACATGCCGGGCTTTGAGATTTCATAGTCATTCATCTGCCGGCTGCAGAACGCCAGCAGCTTCATATTTAGGATCTGAGTTTTTGTCTTGCAGCTGCTGTCTTTTCCCCACAGCCCACATGCTGTCATGTGGCTAAGAGAGGAGCATCATGGAGCACAGGAATACTGTAAATAATGCTTTAATGGAACACACCTCTGAGTGGTATCCACACTGAATCCTTTCCCTTTCTGTTTTGACCCTTTTTGAGAGGGCTCACCTGGTTCATATCCACTACATATACCTTACATGCCTATACTGTACTGTACAGAATATTGTGGCTCTCTGGAGACTGGTAGGCTGTGGATGTTTACTTCAAACCTTAGGGGGCTGGGGCAGGCAGTAAGGGTCAGTATGCAGCCTGTGTGATTCAAGAAGCTGGGCGCCTGGCAGAATGTCAGGAAGCAGCAGGGGGACGGTGCAGTAGAGATTCAAAACTGTGAAGTTTGAAGCAGAGTTGTGTAGTAAGCCATCTACCACACCAAGTCACACATAATTCACAAAGCTCTGGCAATAACATATATACAGTATAGTCTTTTGTTTTTCTAGCTTTGGTTTTTGCTCATTTTTACTGTTTAAAATGTCTTTTGTATTCATTTTAAAGAGATTAAGAATTAATGTTGAGTCCTGTGTAGGACATCCAAAGAAAAAACAGAGTGCCGGTACATGTTGATACAAAGCTGATGTGAGGATGTTCCTCTTTGTCTTTTGTACTTTGTTATTTAGTGCAAATGTCAATATTTGGTTCATCTTTTTAATGTGAGGATTTATTCCTTTTTTATTCTCTCAGACTGTTGCTCCCACTAGTGTGGCTCACCTCTGCTAAAGAGAGTGTGTTTTCTCCATTTTTGCTGCTGTGCATTCACACGCTGACAGTCATACACAAGCAGTCCAGCTCACCACGGCTCAGTGACTGCTCTGAAGATGCTGATGGTGAGATGGAGACAACGTCTAGCTTCTGGGTGTGGCTCAACATTACTGTATAGACTCCAGAGCATGTGCGTATTTCATCTTTGACAAAAAGGTCACTGAACACATAGGACCCTCGTTGAGTTTAGAATCTTAGGTCGCACATTGGATTTATTCATGACATTTCCTCAGTGGCTTAACAACACGTTTGGCCAAACGTCAATTTTCTGGATTTGGATTGTTTCTGGTCATAGTTATTTGAATCAATAAGAGCGAAGCTGCAAGTGAACATGACTCGTGTGTAAATCCTGTTGGACCTCCACTAGCTTTATGCCTTAAAAAAGGGGTTTAAAGTACTTGGCTGTGATGCTGATGGCAAGACTCAATTTTTTTTTCTGGGGCAGAGAAGGAGAAAACACAGTGTATTCAAGAAAGCATCCAGTTTCCTCTTCATCTAACAGACAGCCCTGTGCAGCAAAGGTCTACTGCTCGGCAGAGACACTGATTGGAATCTGTCTTTGCAGCATTAAGACCTTGTCGAGGAGAGACGTGAGGCAAATCATGCTATTTTTTCTCCACGTTGAGAAAAAAAAATCAGAGCATGCTAAAGGTCCCAGGGGTCTAGAGTCATGTGCTAAAGTGATTTTCAGGCAAAGAACGTCCTGCTCCATTTGGGCCTTTGTGGGAGTCTGGGTTCATGGCTTCCATTAAAGTGTGTGTGTGGTTCAGGTCTGTCGGAAAAGGAAGAGAAGCCCGAGCGGAGTGGGCAGGAAAGGAAGCAATGGAACAATTATGTAAACGCACAGAGATTGTTTGACCTGCTGAAGATGCAGGAAAA